AATGTTCAATCGAATTTACGACCATCTAATTAATAATAAAATCTTATACGAAAACCAATTTGGTTTTAAAAAAAACAATTCAACAGAACACGCTATTCTCCAACTTACGCGCGACATCTCAGAATCTTTTAAAAAATCTCATTTCACATTAGGAGTATTTATTGACTTATCTAAAGCTTTTGATACCGTCAACCATCAAATTCTAATAAAAAAATTATTATCATATGGAATAAAAGATAACACCCTCAAGTGGCTTAAAAGCTATCTTACAAATCGTAAGCAATATGTTTATAATAAAGAATCCTCGTCTCAAGTGTTAATGAATGTAACGTGTGGTGTTCCACAAGACTCCATACTTGGACCTCTTCTCTTTATAATATATCTAAATTATCTTCATAAAACTTCAAGCCTAACAAAAATAATCTTTGCAGACGACACAAATTTATTTCTATCTCATGAAAATATTAGTATTCTTTTCAACAACATGACAAATGAGTTAAAAAAAATTTCTGATTGGTTCAAAATAAATAGGTTATCTCTCAACACAGCTAAAACTAAATGGACACTTTTTTATCTACTCTATAAAAAACATAGAATACCACATTTGTTACCTGAACTATATATTGACAATGTAATGATAAAAAGAGAAAAAGTAACAAAGTTTTTAGGAATTTATATTGATGAAAATTTAACTTGAAAACAGCACATTAACATTATCTCTTCTAGAATTTCCCAATGCATCGGTATTCTTTATAAAGCTAGAAACATACTAAACAAACGGCAGCTGACTCAACTGTATTATCCATTTGTTCACTGACATATAAACTATACAAATATTATATGGGGAAGCACTCAAAAGACAAAACTTAAAACTCTTTTTAATCATCAGAAACACGCAGCTCGCGCAATTAATTTTAAAAATCGTCTTACTCACTCTGCGTCACTTCTTAAAGATATGAAAGCTTTGAATGTTTATCAACTTAATATTTTTAATATTTTATGCTTTATGTTCAAGTGTAAAAAAAATTTATCTTCACAGGTATTTCAATATCTTTATTCTTTAAAACCGAAAAACAAATATAATTTACGAATTGACAACAATCTTAATGCTCCTTTTTGCAAAACTAAATACGACGAATTTTGTATGCCCTAACGTGGACCTCTTCTTTGGAACAAAATAGTTTTACCTAATTTTGACTTTTCAATCAAACTAAACTACTCCTCATTTAAAACCAAAATTAAAGAAATGATCTTTTCAATTGAAAACATCTTTATCTATTTTTGAGTTTTTATCAATTTATTGCTAATATATTATACTTTATTGTATTATGTTTTACTATTTACGAATATTTCCATGAGTTCTTTGCAAACTTATGTATTTAATGGTTTGTATTTTATTACTTTTTATTACTGTGTTTTGTTAAACTTCATATTATCTTAGTTATTTTTGAATTTTTATAACTTGATTATAATATTACGTATTTATATTATATTATACTCGAAGAAGTCCTGCCGCTAAATTTGTAATATGTTAAAATTTGTATTATTAAAAAAATTATTTGGCAAAAAAAAAAAAAAAAATTATTAGAAAGAAGAAATTAAAACACAGGTGCTTATAACACTTCAAAATTGTATCAATCAAACATTGTGTGCGGTCTTAAAAAAGTTGTATATAATTTTTGTATATAATTTTAAAAAAACTCAGTAATCTAGATAAAACTCAGATAGTCAAGCAAGAAACAGCGATAACCAAGTTAAAATAATTTGAAATGCAATTTTTAAGCTTGTTTAAAGCTTATTTGAAAGTGTTGATTAATAATATTTCTAACTATAGAGACAAAAACTTTTTATGCTTCAATAAGATTTAAACTACAAAAATTATCATTATTACTTGCTTGCAAAATTGTGTAATTAAAAAAGTTATTTTAAAAACATGTCTTGTTATACACAGTGCATTAATAAAATCAAAATTTGTTATTAACTTCAGAAGAAGCGGGGGCTGCACCATTATTGACATTCTTTGAGACAAAAAACCACAGGTATAAAAAACTTTCGTAAAGTATCCATGCCACAAAATCACATTTCATAACATCCAAAGAAAAATCAGTAATAGCTTTTATTAAAATACTAAGTAAACAAGTTTTTCTTTTATGCGGTTTATCATAGTTCCTATTACGATTATCATAATTCTCATAAATGATAAATAATATGGTTAATTAAAATTTATACTTACTAAGTCGAAAATCTTCTTGATTATTAAAGAAAATCAAATACTAGTTTTTATCGATTCAACTATAAACAGCTTCTACTTGTAACAACTCTCTGTCTGGCGGACCTGTACACAGCGCACCCTGAACTCGGTGAAGTTCGTAAACGAACTCAGTAAAGTTCGAAACGATAACTTTGCCGTTTAATGATTGGCTAATATTAACGAATGAAAATTTAGAATATAATTTTTTAATTCGCGCTTTTTTAGTCTATTTTTTACCGCATTTAAAATAAGTAAGATGACACCTTTAGCTGAGTTCATTGAAAGTATCAAATAAGAACAATTGGTTGATTTTTTGCAACAAAAAAGGCAAATGCCACTTCAAAAACTTTGTCTATGTGGTCAAAGGATGGTTGTGCAAAATTATGAACGTTGTCAAGTATGAATACTTAACTATTTTAATTATTATATACACATAACAGAATATCCCTTGTATCTTTAAAATACTTTATTTAAGGAAAAACATATTTATAAATATAGATATGTAAAGAAGAGAAGCTACCAGAAGATACCTTTAAAAGGTTGATTAAAAGAAGATTAGCCACACAAAAAATATGCAAAGAAGAGAAGCTACCAGAAGATATCTTAAGAAGATCGATTAAAAAAAGAAAAGCCACAAAAAGATATGTTAAGAAGAGAATATACCTTTAGAAGATCTATTTAATCTAATATTTAATGTAGATATGTTGATAATTTGTAAAATTTTAAATTTTTTTATAAAATGTTACATTTTTATTAAAATGCATTTACGCAAAGTTTTTGTTTTACTATTTTCTGCGTTACCATTATGGCGCGCAATAACGTAATATTTTAGCGCCCATTCTGCAAAATACCAAAATGCAAACACCGAGAATATTCGTTCCGAAAATTAACGAACTTCACCAAGTTTAGGGTGCGCCGTGTACAGATTCGTCCTCTGTCTTCCTTTCTTGTATCAAAAGGATATCGTGATACCAAAAGTTCTACACAATTAATATAATATTTGTTCGCCTAACTTTATAGGAAATGATGCTTTTCTTTAACATACCAACTTTTTCTTTAAAGTGCTATATTAGCTTGCGAATTAAGCGACATTTTGAAGTAATCATCGGCCATGTTATATGTTTAATAAAATTAATTAATTTAATAAAACACAAATTAAGCAGGGTGTATGGCAAAAGGGAAGTCCAAAATTTATTTTCCACATTTGAAACCTTTTTTCTCCTTATTTATTACTTCAAATGCAAGTTATTAAAATGATACACAATCTAGTGTAATAAAACAGGGGATGTCAATTGATATATTTTGATATATACTAGTTGTTACAAACTAATTTTACCTCCTGATGATAGTTAAACAATAAAACTTGACAAAAATTTTACTCAGGGTGTTTGTCAATACGGAAGTCCAAAATTTATTTTTCACAATTGAAACCGTTTTTCTCCTTATTTATTACTTCAAATGCAAGAAATTAAAATGATACACAGTCTAGTGTAATAAAACTGGGGATGTCCATTGATATATTTTAATATATACTTGTTGTTACTAACTAATTTTACCTCCTGGTGATAGTTAAACAATAAAACTTCTAAAATAAAAATTCTACTCAGGGTGTATGTCAAAAGGGAAGTCCAAAGTTTGTTTTAACTAAAATAATTATTTTAATTTTTTTAAACCAATGAAAAAAAAAATTAAAAAAATAAAGTTCTATATAATAAAATAAATTAAGGTATTTTAATTCAAGTTTCTAATTAAGTTATTTAACTCAAAAGTTAGTTTAACCTCCATCAAAATATTGTAATTATTATTTTTTAACAATCGCAAAATTATGAAACCGATATAATATTTTCCGGTTTTTAATATTTTGGAATTTGAACCGTTTTCCGGTTTTTAATTTTTTCCAACTGTTTCAGATAATTAACCGTGCATAATTTGTTTAGTTTTAGCTGTAGTTTGGTTTTAATAGTTACATATAGTAAGATTTTTTTCAACAATATAATCAAGTTAAAAAACTTTTATTTAATTTTTTTGGGTACATCCAACGACGTAGCAGACATCCCCTAGACACGCCCCTGGTTGTGGCAAATTAAACAGTTTGTTACTATTATAGTTATGGTAAGTTTTTATTTAATATAAATAGTGGAATCAACGATTAGTTATTAAAAGTTTACAATAATGAAATATATATATCTTTATTTTTTTTAAACTTGGGATTACTATAGTGGCAATATCCCAATGACATAAACGCTTGTTTTACATTAGTTTTTATGTAGGTTCCGTGTGGGATTCCTGGGAATCCACAAGAAACCCAGGTTGGGTAAGTATTATTTTCACTAGAATATTAAGTCATATTTTGCCACTATATATAATAGAGGCAAAATATGGCTCATGAAATATCTTTCACAAAACAATTATTTAATAAAAACTTACTGATTAATTAACACTTAATAATAATAATAATAATAATAATAATAATAATAATAATAATAATAATAATAATAATAATAATAGCAATAATAATAGCAATAATAATTATAGCAATAATAATAATAGCAATAATAGTAATAATAATAATAGCAATAATAGCAATAATAACAATAATAATATTATTATTAATAATAATAGTAATATAAATAATAATAATAGAAACAATAGTGTTGATAAAATAGCAATAATAAACCATTTTAAAAAAAGTTTGAAATAGTGTATTACTTTTTAAAAAAAGTTTTAGATGGTTTATTATTTTTTTTAGACCAAACTAATATCGATAGCTTGCTAGTTTTATCACGTGAATACAGAATAAATAAAATCAAAAATTTATGCGAAGAATATCTTTTACAAAAAACACCAACTGTTGACTTGTTAATTACTGCACAAGAGTTTGATTTGGAAAGACTCATAGAAAAATGCATTGAATACTTTTCAGAAAAAGCTTTAGAACCATTGCAAAATCATCCAAAGTATAACGAGCTGAGTAAAGAAAACAAACTGAAACTAGCTAAGGGACAGAATATGGTTTTGCGAAAGTTCTTTGAAAATGCTAAGTATCTATATTTTTCTTTTAATTTAAAAATAAATAAAAATAAGGTATGTTTTAATTAATACTCACAGTTATAGTTAGGGTTGGACTATCCCACAGGGACAATGGAAAATTTCCCGGTATAATAAAATTGTAAGCAGACATCGGCATGTGGTTGCCGATGTCTGCTTTTCCTGTACATTGTAAAAAAAATAATTTTGAAATGCCGTAATATTGTATTAACAGTGTAATCACATGACTAATCACATACACCGTAAAAAACTGGTTTATGGGTATGTGGCTGTTTAATTATAAAGGTAGTATTAGATGAAACCAGAAGCTTTCACCGTGCCAATAGGCATGGTGAAAGAGCTTTTTAATTAGCATGGTGAGAGTCGTTTTTTTGTAATAAGAATGAGGCAACTTAAAAGAGTTAAGTTGATAGCTTTTCTTAAAAATTTCATGGATATCTTCAAATTGTTTCATAAGAAAAACAGAAAGTTTGAAATCATAGTTTAAAGCCTTTCAAAAGCTATTGCTGTTTGAATTTTTATAAATTGTTGATGTGTGATGTAGCAATTTTATGAAGTTATAAACATTGTTCGAAATAAGAAAAGGGAGGCTTTATTCTTATGAACCATGGCGCTCTTTAAGCTACAGGCCGTGACACGCAAAATTTAGAAAAAAATGTTGGGGCTGATTTTAACGTAAGTTAATATCGACTATAACTTAAGTTATTATCGGCGTAGAAGTACTTTTATAAAAAAATGGTAAAAAATGCTGTGTTTATGGCTGTTCTACGTATTACTTATCACAGAAAAAAAAATCAAGTGAATCTAAAATGTCTGTTTATAGATTTCAAAGAGCTGAAGAATAGCAAAAATGTTGGATAAAGTGCATTCCTAATGCAAATTTAAAAGTGACAAGCAACACTGTAATCTGTGAACTACACTGGCCCAAAAATTTTGAAAAAGTAAAAGTAAAAGGAAGAGAAAGACCAAAAAATCCACCATCAATTTGGCCCAATGTTTTTTTAAGCCAATTACCAACATCTTTAAGATCAACTAAACGTGCATTATTCTCTGATCAAACTTCTTTTGACGAAATCGATTTATTTTCAGCACAAGATAATTTTAACTATGACTTTTTTTGTGTAACAATGTTAAATAAAAAACGCAATTTTTCTGTTGATATTGTAGCTTTCATTTCAGATTGTAAACGTTGTGTACAATCCACAGATTTTGTTAATTATGCAACACCAAAATTTATCATTATGTTTGATAGCTGTTTAAAGTTTGAATCATATTTCAATGGTGTAAAAAGAAAAGTACATACTGTGTCTAATATTGTTAACACATGGTCTAAATTTGAAGAAATCTTGCGATACTTGAACCTTTTGACACCAAACAGTAAGGAAATATTAATGAATGAGCAAATTGATGCCATGAACACAAATAAGTATAGTCTTAGTGTAATCATCAGAGCATTTGAGTACTTTGCTACCTCTCTTACACTTTATAAAAAATCGCGTGATGATTTTAAACTACCTTCTATTCAAACATTGACACGCATTACTTCTAAAGTATCGAAATCTGATAATAATTTCTTTTTTAAAAGAAGTTTTTGATAATTTAAGTGATGATCAAAAAACTTGTATTATTCTCTACGATGAGGTTTATGTTAAAAAAATGTTATTATATTATGGAGGTGCTCTTTTTAGAAAAGCATTAGATAACCCAGATTCTCTTGCAAAAACTGTTTTAGGTGTCATGATGATTTATATGTTTGGTGGACCTAAATTTCTTGTGAAAATGTTACCTGTAAACAAATTAAATTCTAAATTTTTATATGATCAAATTCATTTGACTGTTGAAGCAGTTAAAGAGTCTAATCGCAACGCAAAGGTAATTATATGTGATGGAAATCGAACTAATCAAGCATTTTTTTAAAAATTTGACACATTTCCTGAAAAACCTTGGCTAACCACCAATGGAACCTATTTGTTGTTTGACTTTGTCCACTTAATCAAAAACATTCGAAACTATTGGCTCACAGAAAAAAAAGGAGAATTAATTTTTTATGAAAATGGTGTTGAGAAAACAGCTTGTTGGAGTCATTTGATAAAACGTTTTGAAGCTGATTCTAATTGTCTAATAAAACTTTCTGTTTTGAATAAAGTTTCTGTTCGACCCAGTCATATTGAAAGACAATCTGTTTTTACCTGTCTAAAAGTGTTTTCTAAAAAAACATACAGCGCTTTACTTAATCATCCTGAAACCTCCAACATCTTAAACATAAATGAGACTGCTGATTTTATTAAAATGGTTGTTACATGGTGGAAAATTTTAAATGTAAAAAGTGTGGGTGTAGATTGTTGGTTTAATGATGATCGACAAGCTGTCATCAGAGATACAAATGATGATAGATTAAAATTTATTTGGGATTTTGGAGAAATGGCATTACGTATGACAAGTAATAAAGGGAAGCGTATAAAACAATTGACACATGATGCAGGATATTCCATAAATCATACGTGTAGAGGAATTGTTAAGTTGGCAAAAACACTATTAAAAGAAAAACACAAATATGCTATGTTGGGAAAATTTACAACAGACCCACTTGAAAAAGAATTCAGCAAGTTAAGACAAGGATCTGGTGGCACATATTTTTTAAGCGTCCAACAAATAATTGAAAAGTTCAATATTTCTAAAACTTCACTTTTGTTGTCATATAACATTAATGATTCAACTCCTGATGCAGGACATTATTGCCAATTTTGTGGATTTTTACTTGATGAATCTTCAGCTGAGGTCTTTGATAATTTACCAACACTAGAAAAAAGTATAACTGTTCAATCAATTATGTCTCTCGTTTATTTTGCCAGATATGTGTCTCGTAATGATGATTTGCTTAATGAAAATGAACTTTTAACCAGAACAATGTTTTATTTTGAAAAGTTTGGTCAATATCTAAAATCAGTCGATAGAGGTGTGTCAAAAGTTCCTTTTGATAATACGTTCAATGGGTTTTCTTCTCATTTGTACTATTTAACTCCATTAAAGATAAAGTTTGTCGGACATCCCTGTGCAACACTTTTATGCTTATATCGGATCATTACTCTTTTGACACGGACATCATGGTAATATACTGTCAAATTTTTTTACCAAAAACCACTGGAACCTTTCCACACCAAGATCAAACAAAGAACCGTCTCTGAAAATTTTAAAGTTGTCTTGTTAAGTTGACAGTTATTTATTGACACTTATGCTGTTATTTCTTTATTGAAATTTATTCATTGATTTAAAGTTTCTGTTTTATAATTTTAAAAGTATTCCTTATTTATTTAAATCACTAAAATATATTCCTATTTAAAGGTGCAGTTACCCTAACAGTAATTTATTTAACTTTTGTTTTTTACCTAATGTAAAACTTTTTTATTTCATTATTTAAGCAATTTTATGAATTGAAACAATTAAATAAATTTTATTGTTAAAAAATTAAAAAGATTTATAAATTGTACAAATTTTTACATAGTTTAATGCTTTATATAACGGCAGCAACATTTTTTGTTTTTAAACAATTATCATATTGATTTTTGAAATATCGGCCCCCATATTTTTTTCCAAGTTTTGCGTGTCACGGCCTGTTACTTATAGATCGCCGTGTTATGAACAAATGTAACATCAACTTTTATGCATTAAAAAAAAAAACCTTCAAAATATCTACAACAGATTTTTTCCCATTCACAAAACTACCCCAGGGGCGTTCAATAAAACAATTTCTGTACTTTTGAGCACCATGTCTCTTGGTAATCTAGTTTTATAATTGAGTTTTATATGTTTTTAAGAAATAACATCTTGTTTTTTTATTTACAACTAATTCAGCGGAGCTTGTTTAAAACTTAAAATTATGTCTCAAAATCTCACCTGCTTTGAAAACAATAAAATTTAGGCTAACTTTGAAAAGCAAAAGACCTACGTGTCATTGATATATAGTTTTTTGAAAATGGTTTTTACAACAATATATACTTTGATTTAACTAAAAAACTTTAATGGGAGGTTTGGCCTTTATAAATGAAGTCACAAAAACTAAATGTTTGTTATCACAAAAAGGTTTAAAGTGAGTTGTGTTACGTGATTCACTGTACCCCAGTGAATTAATGAAAAAAGCTGTGAAGTAATGAAAGTAAATAAAGCCGTGCTAAGCAACTTTTAGGCTGAGGGAGTAAATGTATTGTATAGACACTATACAATATATTTTTGATATACAGTTATTGAATACCTCATCATAAGCTGTTAAGTCCACAGAAAAGATAAAATGACGAGGACCTCTAGTATTCCCCCCACGTGGTCTGGGTATTTTTTTAAAAACATCTTTAAGTGACATTTCAAAAATATGATCAACTGTTGGAAGAATTTAGGAAAATAAAAGTCTTTTTTGTTGAAAAAACTCTTACCCATGTATCCACTTTGCTTAATGCTAATCATTTTAACAACATAAATAACTAAATCTTTTTTAGTATTAAGTTTTACTAAAACATAATCACTGATTATTAATTTGCTTTCGTTTTAAAACAAGGTCGCGTTTGTGAAACCACTGTTGCCATCCTTTTTACTATATGTTAAGTCAAAACTCAAGAAAGTTGCATCACCTGCCTGTTTAAATGGACTTACACAAAGTATATTTTTGCAAACTTTTTACAGGTATACGTACCGCAAAAACACCAAAAAAGAGCACACCAATAATTTTTTTTTCAGTTAACAATTATAACAAAACTATTTCTTAAAATTTTTAAATTACAGTTAAAATTTTTAAGTAATAGTTTTGTTGTTATTATTAACTAAACTTTTGTTGTTTTTTGTATGTGTACCCCAAAAACCCCATTTAATTTATCAATTGTATCACTGCAGCTAGTGAACCTATGAAGCTGAAACTTGGCGTGTTTTATAATATTATTTGATCTGCTTTAAATAAAACCAGTTACTGCTAAATTAATTTTAAAGTAAATACCCGATACACCACAAA